TTCTTTTCATTGTAAGAGAATTGAATTAAATTTCAATAAAGATAGAGACATGGTCTCACCATTAATATTCAAAAAAAAAATAAAATAAAATTCACATTTTAAGAGACTTATAGTAAGAGGTACTAAAGCCTTGTAGTATTTATATTTGCTACCTAGCTTTTATTTATTTAACAATTTAATTCATAAAACTACAATATTTTAGCATAATTCTTATGAGATGTGTGTTATTTTCTTATTTTACATTTATTTGAAAAGAGCTGTCTAAAGCCAGGAGTGCTTATTGACTAATTGATTTAATAAATTATAATGATAAAGCATATGTAATAAATCTGATGAACATACCTTGCAATGTAATATGATCAAAATTTGAATATCTGATGTTTTAGAATTAAATAAATATGAGAATTTTTTTTTTACTCAAAAATTTTTTGTAGACTTGCTAGTAACTTTTTTAACAATTGATAATAACCAGTAAAAGCTTTATTTTTCATCTCATAAAACATGCGATAATTGTTATAAGTTCAAAGAAATTACAGAATTTCTTAAAAATAATAAAGCTTTAGTTTAGTGTTAATTAAATAAAAATAATAACCAAAGATATGAAGCCACAATTACTTACTCTAACATTGATGAATTTGTGTATAACTCTTTAATTTCCTTGAAAAATACTAATAATTTTTATGAAAATGATAATGTCAAATTGGTAATTAGTTTTGATATCGAGTTGTTCTCTTTTATTACTACAATATTAGATGAGGATAAAGAAAATTTTAATAATAATAAAAAACTTTATTTTGAAGTTGCTCGTTATACAGCAAAATTTATTAAAAATGGAGATGGTTATAGGTGGATTTATAAAGACAAGAATCAAAAAAAAAAATCATTAATGGTTACCTATTATTGTAATTGCTATATTAATCAGGCAAAGCATCAAATAAAACATCTAAATCCAAAAGTTCATAGAGATACTTCTATACGAATTGAATAGTATAATTGTGAAGGTGTTATTAAAATTGAAATTCTGGTATCTTTAAACATTTTCAAAATTAAATACTCTCATTTAATACTACATCCATACCCAATTTATATAAAAACGACTTTGGAAATTCGTGAATTTATAAAAAATAATATTAATTATTTAGTTCCAGAATTATATTGACAAATTAGAGAAAAACAACTCAAAGCATATGAAAATCTAGAATGTGGCAATTTAGTGTAGTGGTGAAGTTGTCGCACCCTCAAGTAGCGGTGATCAGAGTTTGAATCTCACTAATGGCGAAAAATTTGAATTCTAGAATGTGTTACAGCAAACTATGAGTGTAAATAGACGAATCGACATCTTTAATCTGGTCATACCAGCCTGTACTGGGAGGCTGTAGAATAATAGTGTAATGTATAAGTTATACAAAACCTGAGTGAAGCAGCTGTGTAAATCCAGAGTTGGTGCACATGGGGCAAGACCTTAGTAAAAAGATAGTACAGATCTTCGATAGTACTATATAAAGTATTATCAATCAGAAAACTGAAGAACTGAATAGGACTGAAGTGTTTGGCAAGGCACTCCACCAACCAGGCCACTGAAGAGTAACCGAAGGAAAAGGACCTAACCATTAGGACCAGAGGCAGGTCACAGCCCTTCTGAGCCATCTGGATTGGAAGTTTGGGATGATGGGTATATGACAGATAGTTTGTATAGTGGATGCTGGTATTTGAGTGAATTCATAAGGGGTAGTAGATAATGATAGCACTTCAGCTTACAAGTACTTAATCTTAGTCTAGGCATAAGTTACCGAAGTAGACTAGGTAATACAGTATAATAGAACTAGACTGCTCTAGCAAGTGATGTACTCGAGGATGAATCAGTTAACTATGCTAGTACACGATGATCTTAGAACTTAGACTGACTTATGTATCACATATTTTGGGTGAGATTAGATGGAACTCAAATCAGAGGGTTTAATTGGGTAACTCAAGTAATAGTGGGTTATAAATACAGCATCTAGTGTAAAATCTAGCAATAGGTAGATACTTAATTAGGTACTCAAAAGGCATAGGTATGGCTAGAATATATTCTCATCAGAATGTATTTGTCTGGGGCCCCTTTAAAAAGGGCATCACATAATCCTAGAAAGTCTAATAAAAGCAGGAAGTCAAAGAGGCTAACCTTGACTACAAAAAAAAAAAAAAAAAAAAAAGGATATGAAAATCTTACGGTTCAACAAACATATTTTTGGTGGTTAAAAGAATCCCAAAAAATGTATCATCGCAATTCAGATTCTTTTATATCAACAAAACTTTTATTAAATGAATATAATTAGAAAATTATCATTGATATAACTACTCCAACACCAGCTCTTAGATTTCTTACTGTACTTTTTTATCAGCTTCCGCATAATAATTTTGATGCAATTCAAATAGATGCAACTTATAGCACCAACAAAATGGAATGTAAATTATATGTGATTATAGGCGTGATTGACAGAACCAGTTTCCCTATAAGCTACCTTTAATTGCTGCAGAAAAAAGCAGTGACATTATGACAATTTTAATTCAATGGATGAGTGAATTAAAAGATAGGCAATTAGTAAATTTTCACTCATTTTGATAGATAAAGACTTTAACAAAATTAATACAATTCAGAAAGTATGGCCAAATATACAGTTATAGTTATGCTCTTGGCATGTTTTATGAGTGATAAAACAAAGAGTTGCATCAAACCAACCAATTTCAAATTATTCATATGATCTGATTGTTGCATATCAAGAATATTCTGCCATTGATCCTTGCTAGAAAAGGTTTAATCATCACATAATGTTTGTTTTTTGTCTATTAAACCTTAAAAAACAAGTTATTGATCTTGTTGAACTTCATTATAATCAATATATACTATTACCGAAGTCTAATGGTGAATATTATACGAGCTCACAAGCTATATAGGAAGATTATATTAAAGAAATAGTTTCTTTTTGTAAAGAGAATAATTTAATCGATCTTTGAATCTATCTTTGGAATAATTGGTATTGTCAAAAAAAGATGGATCTTGTAGGCATGAGCTACAAATAGTAAAATTAGTCACATTAAAATGACAATGATCATAGAATCACATTGGTAACATATTAAGTATAACTATTTATATAAATTTCACAAGCTGCAAATTGATTATTTGTATTATATATTAGTGACAAGAATTGTTAATCAACAATTGCACTGAATTCATTTATTGCAACAGGGCTGCTATATAGTACTGTGGAAAAAAGAATTTAAGCATGAATAGAAAAAGCTTGAAAAAAAACTTCAAATACTAAAGAATTATATTCTACAAATCTGAATCAATAGATGTGTATATACTTGTTATATATGAGAAGTAGATTTTTTTTATGCAAGCATTTAGTTAATTTTGTTGGTGAAGTGGACATTGATTTTTTTAAACAGGTATAATATATATTGTAATTTACTATTATAAATTGTTTTATTTATTATTTATTCATTTATTTACAAATTTGTAGGTTCAACATAATGGAGATTATCCTATAATTGCTATATATGAAGGTGAATTTGTAAATCCTTTTTGTTTTCATAATCCTAAAGTTTTAGAAATCTCAACGATTAGAGTATCAATTATTGAATATGAAGACAATTATGTAATAGAGGATAATAATGCCAATAAAGATGATAAATATGCAATAGAAGTTGATAAGGAACAAGAAATTTATAATCGAAGTCTGGTTCACTTAAATAACATATTAAATAAGATAAATTTATTTAACAATTATTATTTATTATATAACTTGTACAATAAACAACTCCTATATTTCCAGACTAAAAATCTGCTTGAGTAATCATGTAGCAAATCTAAAGGTAATTTGTGGTTACGAAATGTTTATCCAAACTTTAAGGGTAGGGTGTCCATAGATCATTTTTAATAGTAATCATGTGGTATTCATATGAAATCATGTGATTGACCAAT